AGGTCTCCAGAAGTAGGAGACAGAAATGTTGCTTCATGATACATTCTTCAGTCTGTGACATCCATTCTCATGACACAGGATGTACTCAACCCCTTCCAAAATATTGAGTTGGCTTCACCTCTTGAAAGTAAGCAGAGAATGGGAGTACAAAAATGGAAAAATTTCTTTCCCCTAAATATTTAGGTATTTCTGTTAAGCGAATCTGATCAAAGGCCATAGCCCATGCACCCTGAAGTATGCTTCTCCATTTTTCAGCCTGCAAAACACTCCACACACACATGACCCCTGGAGACGGTATATCAACATCCTCATCCCAGTTCATTAAGGAAGAAACTGAAGCTCCAGTTGCCATTATACATGTATCTAGTATATGGCAGCCAAGAAATAACAGAGGAAATGGACTGAGGAAGGAAAGACTATACACACAAGCCTTGTGAAGTTGTCACATGACAACAATCTGAGCCATTCTGTCTGCGGTTGGTGAACCGCATTCTTCACACTGCGGAGGTGAGAACGTCTTTGCTTGGGTGTACCAAGGTTCCATCTCAGAAGCGAGAGACAGGGCCTTCGCCTACTAATTCTACAATTTCCTTTCCCCAGACTTTGACTCAGTAACTTTTCAGGGTTACTGAGTGACCATGAGATATCAGAAGAGTTTTATTAGCCTTGGCCACTGCCAAGGCTAACAACTAGGCAACAATTGGCCTAATGGGTCTAGAACCGGTGCTGTGGGCTGTCTGTGAACAGTCAGCATAGCTGTTCTTCCTCTGGAGGCTCCAAAGAGAATGCTTCCTCCCTTCCTCCAAATGTTCAAGCCCGATGCTTGCTTGGACTTGTGGAAGAAACCCTTTGATCCCAGACTCCATCTTTCTCTCCTCCTCCGTGTTAAACCTCCCACTGTGGCCCTCCAAAAATGATACTGTATGGAGCTGGGAAAGTGGCTCAGCGGTAGAGTGCTTGCCTTGCATGCATGAGGACCTGGGTTCAGTTATTTATCACCAAGCAGAAAAAAGCAGGAAGTGGTGTTGTGGCTCAAGTGGCAGAGTGCTAACCAGAGAGCTAAGAGACAGCACCCAGAGTTCAGGCCCCACAACTGACAAAAAAAATGGCAGTGTGATTACAGCCAAGGTGGTGTCCCCTAATTTGAGCATCCTCCACTTAAGTCCCATCTTTGAAGCCCCTAAATTCACCTAAGGCAATGGTAAACCTTGTAATTACCCATTTTCTCCATCATCATTCCTAACTTCCCCTTCCTGTAAATGTACATCAAGTAATTTCCTTAATATAGAATATCAGCAAGCACTGAGAGTACTATGTTATAGAAACTGTCCAAAGTTAAGTACTATATGTATATGTGAAGGTTCATAAATTTGTATGGGTATGTAAAAATAACTAGCTTGAGGGAGTGGAACACTGATGTTTGCATAAATGCAGAAGATATTTATAAGGTCTGCAGCCCAGAAGCTATCTTGCAAAGGCATGCTTACAGATAGGGACCAGCTAAATGTTTGGGCTTTTCCTCTCCTGATAGACACTTGTCATGCTCTCTCTTAAAGTCTGTAGATTTGGCTCCACAAGCACACATATGTACCAATGTGTACACACCCACACATCTGTGCAAATGCATAGACATGCACATATATACTCACTGTGATGGAGAATTGTATGTTTCATTTTGACCAAGCTAAGGGATACACAAATGATGGCTGGTGAACATTATTTATGGATTCCTGTGAGGATGTTTGATTAGACACTAGCATTGAAATTGAGTTGAATTGAGTTGGAGCAATGATCAAGCAAGCAAAGAAGATCACTCTTATCATTGTCGATGGACATCACCACCCAAGCTGCTGAGAGGCATGATACAATGAAAAGGCAGAAGAAGAGCTAATTTGCACTTGCTCTTTCTGTCTTTCTGTCTCTGTTTCTCTTTGTCTCTGTGTCTGTCTCGCTGTCCCTTTCTCTGTATGTCTCTTCGTTTCTGTCTCTGTCTTTCTCTTCCCCTCCCCCCACCTGTGAAGCTGGGATAATCTCTTCTCCTGCTTTCACAATTAATATTACTGATTCTCAGACTAGGACTTGAACCTATTGGCTCCCTTTATTCTCAAGTCTTTGGGTTTGGACTGAACTACCACTTTCTTGAGTTTCCAGGAAAGCATCGCAGATCACAGAATTTCTCAGCCTCTATTATTGGTTTTATTTCTCTGGATAACTCTGATATCTCTCTCTCTCTTTCTTTCTTTCTCTCTCTCTCTCTCTCTCACATACACACACACACACACACACACACACACACTCCTCATATTTCTTTAGTTTGCACTTCCCAGTGATCTCATCCAGCATCCGCTAGGCCCCAAGTCAAACAAGCCACTTATAGCATTCATTTTTGGAAACTTTTCACAAACCCTTTGATCAGATGGCAATTTTTTCTATTGTGCTCTTGATAGCCAACAATCCATTTCTTAAAAGAGACTGAACAGACTGAAGTTTGTAAGTCTTCATAGGTATTTATCCCCAAGTGTGCCAGTTCCTCTTGCAAAAAAAAAAAAAAAAAAAAAAGGTATTTAAAAACTAGCTTCTCATGTGTTTTTTGTTTTGGAATTTTGACTGTCATGGAACTCTTAACCATCTGTGCCACTATCTTATGTTTATGAATCTTTCTTTTGTACTTATACAATAAGAAAATAAAAGTCTCATAAAAGTATCTGAAGAGGGATAATTTCCCTCTTCCTCAGTTAGAAAGACAAAAAAAACTGCTTTCCCAATGGCTTATGGAAAATAGTTTTCACCTTGGAAATCTAACTAAATTCACTCTATTGTTCTGCATGTTTAATTGTTCTGCTAACACAAAAAGATGGAAGGAAGCTAGCTCAGACAGCATTTTAAACTGGAGGGCCCTCCTCTTCTCTCCTCCTTTCTCTTTATGGTTGCTTGAGTTGAACAATTCCATTATGTGCTGTAAAGGTGATCCCCAGTCTGGCAATGTCAGCCTTTTGACCAGTGGCTGGATTAGGAGGACTTGCGGCAGATTAAGGTATTGATGGGTTGTTGGAAGATGATGGAAACTTAGGAAATGGGATCTCGTTCAAGAGAATTGGGTCATTAGAGGGATGACCTTGAGAATGGGGGTATATCCTGTCCCTGGGAGGATCCTCGCACACTTTCTCTTTTTGTTTCCTGACTGCCATGAGATGAACAAAATCTCCTGCGATCTGCTCTTGCTGCTGTGGTATTCTGCTACTCCACAGTCCTACGAGCAATGGAGCTAGATGTGCATAAACTAAAAAAAATCTGAAACTCTGAACTAAACTAAACTGCTTTTTAAATGGTTTCCTTCAAAGTATTATGTCACTGTCAGTATAGAGCTACTTAACACTGCAAATTGGTCCTAAGAGACAGGTCGTGGCTATACCTAAACAAGACAAGTCGTTCAAAAGTCTTTGGAACTGGTTTGCAGAAATAGCCTGTTTAGAAAATTGGACTAGAGGAGTCTAAGAGTCAGATCAGCTCCCAGGAATGTGACCATTACATTTCCAGTAGTTTCAAAATCCTTATTACCAAGTTCTAGTCCCACAGCAGCAAGAACATGCATGGGGCTTACAGAATATCTCTGTGAGGTAAAAGGAGTTTGAATGAACTGGAATTTCAGCCTAAAATAAAAATAAAATAGAGTAACTCATTTTCACTAATTCAGGTTTTCTTTTCTACTCCCCCAATCTGTTATTTACCTTCACTTAGGACAAGATTTTAAAAAGAGAGAGCGTGGGCTCATTTCAGCAAGCAGGATTTCAACGGTATAAAAGGAAAAAGTGTTTCTCTAGGATTTAGAGTAAAATGTTCAGTGGACTACCCTATAGGGTTAATGGGCTAGCAGAAAACTGACAATGTAATGGGACATTGTGATGATGATTCTAAGGCAGATCAGCTGTGTTCACTGTCTTGCTCCTCATTAGCAATGTGTGCTGAACCACCCAAAGCTCAGATTAGGTGGGAAGTCCCAGCAAATTTTAGTTAATGCTGCCCCCTAGTGCTTAGATTTGTTATAACATGAGTGCAGAGTCTCAACCATCAGTCAAAATATGAGACTTTCCACCCCTTTCCCATTTGCTCATCTCAGAAACAAGAAAATTAAAGCTGCCAAAATCAAGTAAGACTTGGGAATTGTTAGAACTATAGACACAAATCACAAAGGCCCCAGGGTCCGGGGGCCCAGGCCTGTAATCCTAGCTACTCAGGAGGTAGAAATCTCAGTATCACAGTTCAAAGCCAGCCTGGATAGGGAAAGCCCAGGAGAGTCTTCTCCCCAGTTAATCAGCAAAAAACCAGAAGTGAAGCTGTGGCTCACCCTGGTAGAGTGCTCACCTTGAGCAAATAAAAGGAAGAAGGCCCAAGCCTTGAGTTCAAGCCCCACAATTGGCACACACGTGTGTGTACCACACAGAAGCACTGAATATATACATTGATATAGAGATGTATGTGTGTTATGTATGTGTGTATGTGTGTGCATGTATGTATGTGTGTATGTACGTATATATATGTGTGTATGTATGTGTGTATGTGTGTATGTGTGTATGTGTGTATGTATGTATGTAGGTGCGAGTGTATGTATGTGTGTATGTATGCATGTATGTGTGTGCATGTATGTATGAGTGTATGCGTGTATGTGTGTATGTGTGTACGTGCGCATGTATTTATGTGTGTATGTGTGAATGTGTGTATGTATGTGTGTATGTGTGTATGTATGTGTGTATATGTATGTGTGTATTATGTATGTATGTGTATATGTATGTGTATATGTGTGTATGTGTGTGCACATGTATATATGTGTGTATGTGTGTATGTGTGTGCATGTGCATGTATTTATGTGTGTATGTGTGTATATGTATGTGTGTATTATGTATTATCACAAAGGCAACTGTCTCACCCTCTACCGCTAACTGTCATATAGAACATTCATGGCGAGAGTCGCGGAGTGGCCGCCAGGTTCGCTGCTGGTCCTCTGGCCGCCCGCACCGCACCCGCCACCGTCGCTGCCGCCATGGGAGTGCAGGTGGAGACCATCTCCCGTGGAGACGGGCGCACCTTTCCGAAGCGCAGCCAGACCTGCGTGGTGCACTACACCGGGATGCTGGAAGATGGAAAGAAATTTGATTCCTCCCGGGACAGAAACGAGCCCTTTAAGTTTGTGCTAGGCAAGCGGGAAGTGATCCGAGGCTGGGAAGAAGGGGTGGCCCAGATGAGTGTGGGTCAGAGAGCCAAACTGACTATCTCTCCAGACTACGCTTACGGGGCCACCGGTCACCCTGGCATCATCCCACCAAACGCCACTCTGGTCTTCGATGTGGAGCTTCTAGGACTGGAATGACAGAAATGGCCTCCTCCCTTAGCTCCCTGTTCGTGGATCTGCCATGGAAGGATCTGGTGCCTCCAGACGCTGCACACGAGTCCATGCGGAGCTCTTCCTGACTCCCCACTCCACTCTATAAACATCTGCCCCGACTGAACGTGTTCTGTCACTCGCCTTTGCTTCTGACACCTTTTTTCTTCCTCCTCTTCCTCCTCGTATGTGTGTTTACCTGAACCTCGTATTTTGTTTTCATTTTGGGGGTGGAGATTAAGTTTCAGTCTCTTGGATCTAGGTTCCAATTTAACATCTTGTCAAGTATTAACAGCACAAGTGATGTAGGTTAACTTTAGGAATTGGTGTTGGGGTGGGAGCTGCAAGAATATTTTATTTTATTTTTTTGGATGGAATTTTTATCTATTATCTATTGAATCATTCTTGCTGCTGCTCTGCAAAGCCATAGCAGATTGGAGATGCTGTAGAGGGCTGAATTGTTCTCCAGTGTGCGAGGTCCTTCTCTACAATTGATAACCCTGCCCAAAATGGAAGGGGTGGGTAGGAGGAGCCTCTGTGAGTCCCTCCGCCACCTCGGAAACCTGCCTTTCAAACAGGTCACTCACTGCGATGTTGGATGCTCCAGGTATCCGTCCCTGAGCCGGCAGGGACCTCTGAAGCGTTCGTGACTGACTTCTTTTCTTTTCTTTTTTTTTCTTTTCTTTTCTTTTCTTTTTTTCATCCTGTGGTTTTTCTAATGAATTTTCAAGACTTTTGTAATCTCAAAACTATCAAGCTCCACTTCCTAAAGTCTAAGAACTTTCATTGAAAGTTTCCATCGAAGATGGAGTTTAATTAGCCAGAAGAGCATCTATTACCTCATTAGCCCTTGACTTGTGACCCTTAGCCATTAGAAAAGCAAGCACAACCGCTAGACAGGATAAACACATCCCGGCCACTTGCTGAAGGCTTCAGACAGGGGCCATATCGCAACAGGTGGTAGCAAGTTGTTAGCTAAGCCCACCCAGGAGAATATGTCTAATAGGCCTTCAGCAGAAAGGGAGCTCACATGTTAGCCTGTTGATGTAGTTGGATGCATCCAACAGATGGCCCTGTTTTTTTGTTTTGCCCAGAGCAGTCTGAATGCCTGGAGTCCAAGCACATCAAATCAGCATCTGTACTGCCAGCAGGGTCTGCATGTGTGTGTCTGGGTGGGGGAAGTGAAAGCTAGAGGGGAGGGTGGAAAGAGATGCGATTGTTTTTGACTGTGACATGTACATTGGTGAGAGGGGCTTAATGAGATGGAAGAATGGGGGGATGAAGGCTGAACGCTGGCTTATGAGAGAAGAGGCAAAGTCTAAATCTGGCTAATTCCATCCTGTGGTCTTAGAGAAAAAGAAACCAGAACCCAGGGAGATACAAGAGCCTCCAACATCACACAGCTAGTTTCTGACAGAAATGATCACACCTGAGATTTTCTGATCTCCATCCTAGGAGTTTTGTCTACCTTTCATAGAATATGGAAGAAAGAGAGGACAGGGTGACCAAAAAAAAAAAAAAAGAGAGAGAGAGAGAGAGATACTAGGAAAGAGCATGTAAAACAGGAAGGAGGAAAAGATTCAACTGGGAAAAGGATGGAAACAAGGGAAGAAAGAGAAAAGGCATCAAAAATAGATGCCTTGGCTGGAGGTATAGCTCAAATGGGACAGTACTTAGCTAGCAAACCCAAATCCCTGAGTTCAATCTCCTTTACTAGTCTTGCATGGTAAGGCATACTTGTAATCCCAGCACTCAGGAAGCTGAAGCAGGACAAATCTGAGCTACATAGTGAGACTTTGTGTCAAATATACATATATATATATATATATATATATATATAGTATAATGCTTATAAAATACTCTCTCCATATATATATATATATATATGTTTATTAGAGAGGAAATATAGCAAAAAGGATGAAAATGGAGTAAATTCGCTCCTTCACTGTAACTTTAGGACTCGTGCTTCCCAAAGAATATGATTCGGCCAGTTCAATATATTCCTGAAGTTTTGAGTCACATGCATTAACTTAGGTGACCTCGAGGCCATACTTGTTTAAATGCCACTTTTGTCTAGTGAGAGCATACACAGGTACCACTGCAGGGCAGGGTGCAATGAGCTACCTGCAAAGAGTGATGATAAAGAGGAGGAGGAGGAGGAATCTGAGAACAAAGAGTTTTGAATAAAGCCTGCCGCCAATTCTACAACGCTTTGCTCTTATTCTTTAGCCTGCCGAATCGCATTTTAGTCTACCTAGAGCTAAGAACTTGTATTACAGAAATACAGAAAATATCTCTAGGAAGCTAAGAGGTGTTTATAGCCAAGGCACAAAAAATCTAAAGCTGAAAAAAGAAAAGGCTCAAAAATTCATTTGAATTTAAAGCTTCTATTTCACAATAGAGACCACAAGTACCCCTAAAAGTCAAAGAATAGACAAGGGACAAAAATACTATATACCTCGCAAGGGACTTAAAAAAATAAACACATTCTAAAGTTTTTAAAAAAACTAAAAACAGAAAGCAAAAATACAGGCAGAGAAGCAATTCAAAGAAGAGGAAATGAAAATGTCCAATTAACATACGAAATGCAGATCACCCTCATTTTGATCAGGGAAAAACACTAATTAAAGCAAAATAAAATACATCATTGTAGGGAAAAGGTTAATATTTAATCGCACAATGAATATGTAATTTGGTATCAAAAGTAAAATTGGTTCCTCCAATTACATTGGAGAGCAAACTAGTAAACTCCAGTGGAGCAGTTTCCCAGACTTTCACTTTTCTGTATTCATACAGAAATAAATTATTTGCTATTCAATGTAGTAAAGAGAATAACATTGACCAAAAAAAAAAAAGTTAGAAATGTGAGCCTGGGAGCCAGGGCAGGAAAGATTGCTTAAATCTTTTTGTATCTGTGCCCACCCCTGGGGCCAGATAAGCCCCAAATCAGAACCAGCTATCCAAGTGTCTATTTCTTCCCTGTGTGGTATTTAATGCCACGGACTGGCTCTTAGATGTATTCATTCTTGGTTTATCTCATTTTCCAAACGTCAGTGATGAATCCATTTCAGGGTGGCAAGGGACACAATTCAATTCCTCTGTGGTATGGTTACATCATGCCAAATGAAAAATTTGACACCGCCGGATAAGAGAGACACATCATTTATCACACCAGAGTTTCCACTTGCCCCCAGTGAGCGCTCGTTGACCTCCTTCATCTAACTCATGCTTCATCTCATTTCTCAGTGAAGAGTTGCCAACATGGGTATATTGGGAGCCTAGGCAGGAAGGAAACTCGCATGCTTGTTGGTTACCCAGGGGGTTCAAAATCTGCTATGCACTAGGGCACATAAGTGTGGATTGATTTCCTGTGATGTCTAGTTCTTAAAGGCACTGGAGAATTTACGCCACCAGGAATGGAACTAGCAAGATGGAACACGTAGAAGTTAACAAGCAAAGGAAGGAAGGTGGAGGGAGTGCTGGGCTGAGTCTTCCCTCACCTCCTGGGTGGGCCTGTTTCTATCCTTGTATATGGTCAAAACCTGAAACCTGAGATTTCTCCTTCCAGCATGACTCTGAGACTCTTGATGGCTGTGTCCTAATTTGACTTGGACCCTCTGTATTCCTGACCCCACTTGCTAGAGTTTGTATCCTGGGATTGTCTACAACTCCTGATTCAGTAACTGTAATAGTTATCCTTTACTGAGTGCTAGCACAGTTCTTTTTAATTTTTTTTGGTTGGTCGTGGGGTTTGAACTTAGGGCCTGGATACTGTCCCTAAGCTTTTTTTGCTTGAGGTTAGTGCTTTACCACTTTGAGCCACAGCACCACTTCAGGTTTTCTGGTGTTTAATTGGAGATGAGTCTCATGGACTTTCCTGCCACGACTGCCTTCAAACCCATGATCCTCAGATCTCAGCCTCCTGAGTAGCTGTGATTACAGGCATGAGGTATAGTGCTCTATGGCTAGTACAGTTCTAAGTACTCCATGTGACTTGTTCTAATTTAAACAACTCTGACATCGGGGTAAATAAAAATCCCAGGCCCTGTCTCCTAGGAACAGCTCTAGCAAAGGAGAGCTCTTCAGAATCCCCAGGTAACTTGGTCAAAGTACACCGATGCTGGGGTTTGGTTATAAAATATCACCAAAGTCTTACGTGTTGAGGGCTGAGTACCTAGCTGGTGGCATTATTGGAAGATGTTGCAATGGATTAACCCATGGATGAGTCGGTAGCTGAATGATCTCTTAGGTTATGGGGCCTGGTCTCTTAGGAGACACCTTTGAAGAGTGTATCTGGTCTCTAAGCTTTTCTGTATCTCTGTCTCTCTTTGCTTCCTGGCAGCTATGACGTAAGCAGTTTTCCTCCACCACCCCTTCCACCACAATGTCTCTGTCTAGCAATGGAACTGGCTGACTAGCCCAAATTAGCCTTTTCTCCTTTAAAGGTTTGATTGTCTAAGCTAGTTTGTCTGAGCAACTAAAAGCTGACCAAGGCAACAGACCAGCTTAGGAACTCCCAGATGAGTGGAGGAGTCAATATTCATCAAGGCTTACCAAGCTGGCAAGCATCCTGGCTTTGACAGGTGCCACCCACAGTAAAAAATTGAACTCCTTTGCCTGCCACCGAGCCTCTACAATGAGTCCAATCTGGGTGCCCATAACAGAGACATTACAATGCAGGCTGGACTCCAATGTTCATAAGCAAAGTAACTTGGAGTTAAGCATTGGTTTGGCTAATCCTCCCCTCTTCTTCCACTGTGTTTGGAAACTCCTGGGTCTAGGCCATCTGAACTCCAAAGAGATGCTGTGCGTGTGTCACATCCATCACACGATAGTATTCAAATGAAAAATGCTAATGGAATCCAGATATAGGATTATTCTGCCCCCGCATTTTATGGAAATAAGGAAAGCGCCCGTGAATCAGCCAGTGGAGAGGCCAAATGAGGTGCGGGAAAGGTTAAAGCCGAACCCACCACCTAATAACCCGCCAGTCTCTTTAATTAAGCATTAAATATGAATGTGATTTAAAATAACAATAGTAACTGTGCTATTGTTCTGGGAAGAAGTGTATGAGAGATGAGGAGGTGGTAACCCTGACCTTGTGTGCTAAGAAAATACAAAGGATTTTTTCTAAATATGGAAGCCACCTACTGTA